CTTCAGATAGTTTGAGATCTGCAGCTTCTCGTCTGAGGGAAATCGATGTTGTGGCTCGGTCACTGGTTTGAGTCCCGGCTGGTCTCCGGTCCCTCCGTCCCATAGTGACTGTCTCTCTCACACTCGACTCAGCAGCAGGTCTGACGAGTTCATTCATCAGGGAAGTAACAACAGACCTGACTGACCGCTCTGCCACAGGGGGCGCTCACGCACACTCAGAGCCATTGGCTGCTGTAAAACATCCGCAGCGGCTCCTCCTTCCTCATGTTCCTACCAGACACGCGACCACAAGAGGAATCGAACATGTGACGTCTGTTTCACTGGAGATTTAAACATTTCACGCAGCTTTAATAAAAACAATCTGTGGGACACATCTTTATTCTTCTTCCTCAAACATGAATTCATAAATTATAAGTTGAGACAAAGTCATTGGATAATTCCAATAATTCATCTGTGACATAAGCATCATGACCCGGGGTCAGTGTTGGACCGACTCGAGTCTGAACAGACAAATGTTTCAGCATCTGACGAGCACCACAGAGAATCAGTGTCTCTGTGTCTTTGTGCTTCCACGTGTGTTTGACGTGACGATGACAAAGTAAAGAGCACAAACATTTAGAAAACAGCTGAGAATGAACGCTCCGCTCTCTCGCTCTACTGTTTCTTCTTCACCACGTGGGCACAGTCATATTTGCCTCGGACCACGGTGAGTTTCACCCCGGGCAGGTCCTGTGTCCTCCCGCCCTGCACCAGCACCACATTGTGCTCCTGCAGGTTGTGCCCCTCCCCGGGGATGAACACCACCGCCTCCTTCCCGTTAGACAGCCGCACCCGAGCGCACTTCCTGTTGGCGGAGTTGGGCTTCTTGGGCTTTCGGATCATGGTCTTCAGGATCACCGCTTTCAGCTGGGGACGGCCAAACGTGGCACCGACGGCTTTAGGAGGCGGTTTGGGCTTCCCCTGCCGGTGCATCTGGTTGAGGGTGGCCATCGTCCTGGAGAGGAGGGGCCCAGTCCAGGCAGAGGCATGATGGGAGGCTGCAGGGAGATAACTCATTTTAATATAAAACATTAGATGCACTTTGATAAAACACTCATGATGTAAAAAGAGAAACAGGAAGTGATGTGAAATGAACATGTTCGTGCTCATTCCTGTAACCTGACAGTTCTCAGCAGGTGAACCTCCGCTTCCTGTCTGCCCCGCTTCCTGTCACTGCACTGGACACACACCACCACTGAAACCGGTTTAATCTCATTCTGTGAGAAACACGACTTGAATGTATAACACAGGATATTCATCCAGTAGTTTAGTGACATCCTGCTAAAGCTGCTGTCAGACTAAAACCGGACTCCACAGTTCCTCCGTATTTTCTCCAGAGGAGCGAGTGTGAACGCAAATGTCCAAGTGAGACGCTCTGGATTATCTGCAGACTTCATCCGCCCGACCTTGTTGTGTAAAGTGTGTATGAGCTTCATCCTGCGGTCGGCATCACATGACCGTGGTACCGTGGTCACCGCAGAGCGTCAGTTCTAGTTACACATTTCTGTGATCGATCGTCTCAACAGAGCGAAGCTCAGCAGAACTGAAGGTTTGTGAACGTACCTTGAAACAGGGACGTCAGCAGCGGCCTCAGGCTCCACAACGAACACATTTCTGATCAGCTGCTGTCGTCAGCTCACAGCTGATGGTTCTTGAAGCAGATCTCAGATCTGCTGCTTCAGGTCTGAAGGGAACGTAGAAACACAGAAACACGTGAGAGAGCTCCTCTCCCCTCCTCTTCATCACACGCGTCATCAAAACATGCTACTGACGTCACCTCTGAATAATAAAACTGTCACGTGGTGAATCGACTTTTTACTGTTACAACATGGGTTCAAAGTGTCACTACATCCAGTCAGGACCGGTTCTACACGAAGCTACGTGCTACATGCTAACCTCTAGTTCTGACCTGAGCTAACTAGTTCTGACCTGAGCTAACTAGTTCTAACCTGAGCTAACTAGTTCT